TTGAAATTGCTTTTTAAAGTAACTTTTCAGTGTATGCTGCTAGAATGCAGAAATATAATATATTTTTATAAATTAATGTCACCTTCCTAAATTCGCTTACCTCCTGCTTTTTTTTTTATGATGGGTTTGTTTTGTTTTGTTTACATTTTATTTTATTTTGGATTGCAGAAAGATAGGAAGGGAGAGAAAAAGGAGAGAAGGAAACATCAGTGTGAGAGAAACATCGATCAATTGCCGCCTGTATGTGCACCAACCCGGGACCATACTCACAGCCTAGGAATGTGCCCTGACCAGGAATCTACCCGTGACCTTTTGGGTTACGGCCTGTTCCAACGAACTAAGGCCCACTGGCCAGGACTCTTGTGTTTTTGTTTTTTCCCCCTCATGTTTCTCACTGCCTTTGATGTGTTTTTTAATTCAAGTCTAGTTGTCCCCAGTGATATGACCTTTATGGAATAAACAAAGTTAAGTTTATGCCTCAGGCTTCTTTTCTTTTGTGGTGGGTTTCTTTCTGGAAGGCTTCTTGGCTGCTGGTTTTTTGGTATCTGCAGCCTTTTTCCCACCAAAGGCTTCTTCTGGCATTTTTTTAAAAATCTTAAGATTTTCTCAATAAACAATCATTTTTAAAAAAATATAGTTCCACTTCTTCCTTTCTAATTTTATGCCTTCAATTTTTACTCTTCCTTTATTACACTTAATAGGACTTTCGATATAGTGCTGAAAAAGTGGTTATTCTTTCTTTTTGATAAATCTTAGGAGAAAAGGGTTAAATATTTTACCCTTTGCTATGTTGCTACACAGAAACTGTAGTGTTGTAGAGATTTCCCAGGGATTTAGGGTCCAGTAATTTTAGGTAGTATTGGACCCCTTTGTAACCAGTTTTTGCTTCTTCTAGTTTCAGTAGTGTGTACTTACAGGCCTACTCCTTACCTGTCTTCTGTCTTTGCTCTTAGTTATCTGAGGCCACTGCTGGGAACTGAGAGAAATGAAAGAAATAGAAGAAAGGACTCTGGGTCCCTCCCTTTGTACAGTTCTCTTTGTCAGTCTGTTAGGGGTGAGTGACAGCACCAAGGAAACTTTTGCCATATGCTATGCAGAGATCTGTGCTATTTTAGAAAGTATCAGATAACTAACTCTTCCCCTCATTTTTGGACTAGAGTTACCCCTAAACTTTAGATGAAGCCCAATTCCTGGAATTTTGGTTATATTTGGGAAGTGTTTCTAGTCATCTGATAAACATGTTTGTGTGTGTGTTTTACATTAGAATTAGAAAAGTGAGAAATAAAATTGCCCTCATTTGGTTTGACTTCCAGTCTATTGTTTCCCTGGATCTCCACCCAATGTATCCTTTAATAAGAACTGTTTTGGAGGGTCCTTTACAAGAGATTATCAGCAGTTCAGCCTTATTCCTTCTCCCCTTCAGAAGATACAGAGGAACTTTTCCCCATATTATGTATAGGCCTAGGACAGTAATTTTCAATAATTTACATCTCATGACACACATAAACTAATTGCTAAAATTCTGCAGCACACCAAAAGACATATTATTTGCTGATCTGACATAAACAAATAGGTATAATTTTGACTCATTCATACCAGACAGTTATTGTTGTGTTGGCTGTTGTCATTTTTTTGACAGTCTAAGCTGTCAAATAAAGACAGCTTAGGGAGAAGAGGTCAGTGCCCCCAACTAAATAGTCAGGTATTGCACATTTTAAAAATTCTTGCGACACAGCAGTTGAAAATCGCTGGTCTAGGGTAAAACCTTAGGACAACAGGGACATGGGGCAGGACTAGCAGGGCCCAAAATGGGAAAGGTCTTTTTGTCAGCATGGGGCAAAGGTGAGGAAGACAACATCTGGGCTGGGAAGAGATGCAAAAATATTTGCAAATGCTATATATCCTTCACTGTTTTGGAAGCCATCAACATCCTGGCTTCCTCATGATTCTGGCTTCCTTGTGATTCTGGCTCGGGTAAGGGAAATGGTGGGATTAAAAAAAGATAAAAACAGCCCTGTAGCTCAGTTGGTTGGGCATCATTCCGCAAAACAAAAGGTCTCAGGTACTACTCCCGGTCAGGGCACATGCTCGGGTTGCAGGTTCCATACCTGTTGCGGCATGTACAAGAGGCAACCTTTTTTTTTTTCTTTTATTTTCAAATCCATTTGTCTCTGCCTACCCCCCACCACTTTCCCTTGCCCCCTCCTTCCTTCCCTCCCTCAGCTCTTCCCCTTCGGTTTTGTCCATGAGTCCTTGCTATATGTTCCTTGACTTTCCCCTTCCCTTCCCTTTCCCTGCCCCCCCCCTTCCCTCTTGTCTCTGTTGATTTCTTTTCCTTTCAGTGTTGCTGGTCATATTTTCCTTGCATCTTTGTATTGTTGGTTAGGTTCCACTTATAGGTGAGATCATATGGTATTTGTCTTTCGCCCCCTGGCTTATTTCGCTTAGCATGATGCTCTCCAGTTCCATCCATGCTGTCGCGAAGTTTAGTACTTCTTTTTTTCTTTCTGCTGCGTAGTATTCCATTGTGTATATGTACCATAATTTTTTGATCCAATCATCTACTGATGGGTATTTAGGTTGCTTCCAACACTTGGCTATTGTAAATTATGCTGCTATGAACATTGGGGTGCATAGGTTCTTTTGTATTGGTGTTTTGGTGTTCTTAGGGTATAGTCCCAGCAGGGGAATCCCTGGATCAAAAGGCAGTTCCATTTTCAGCTTTCTGAGGAAATTCCACACTGCTTTCCACAGTGGCTGCACCAGTCTGCATTCCCACCAACAGTGTACTAGGGTTCCCTTTTCTCCACAGCCTCGCCAGCACCTGTTGTTTGTGGATCTGTTTGTGATGGCCATTCTGACCGGTGTGAGGTGGTACCTCATGGTGGTTTTGATCTGCATTTCTCTGATGGCTAGTGATGCTGAGCATCCTTTCAAATGCCTCTGGGCCCTCTGTATCTCCTCCTTAGAAAAGCATCTGCCCAGGTCCTTAGAAGCAACCTTTTCTTATATTGATGTTTCTCTCCCTCTCTCTCCTTCCCTTTCCCTTTCTCTAAAAATAAATAAATAACATCTTTAAAAAAAATCATTCAGGTCATGAAAATCCCAAAGCAAAGATGTTTGGACTGTCTTATTCCTCTGCCTTGTTTCTTCCTCGAAACAGTGAAGATCTCCCATAGCCTGTAAGAGTCCAGAGTAACTAAAGTTTCCAAGGGCTAAGATATTTGAAGCTCTGACCAGTCTTGGTGTCTCTTGATCCCAACCCTTTCTTTTGCCATATCCCAACCTGAGCACTGCTTCTTTCAAGCAGGGCTGTTTCTGCTGACCCACCATGATCCAGGCTGTGTTGTCCCTGGTGGCTGCCTTTCCAAAGAAAGGGGCCCTGACTTCCCAGCCGCTTTTCACAGAGATTGGCACCTTCTGAACATGTTCTCCAACCAGATCCCTCTCCCAGATCCCAAGACCTGCCAGGATCTCTTGCACACAGCCCCCTGCTTCGCCCCTCTGCCTGGGTATCTATCCTACTTAGCTCTGGAGGTGGCCCTGGAGGAGGCTGTCTGCCCAACTGAGGCCCACATTTCTGCTGCTTGAGCTTATTAGGGTGGGAGGAAATGATACCACTGAAACCCTCATTCATAAAAATAAAAAGCACAATGTGAGGAGGAAGGGATTGGCAATACTAAGGTCATTCTGAGAGATTTGGGGGGATCCCTAAGGAGCTTGGATAAATCCAACATGCAGATACTCACTCACCCTGAGGAATATATTGATGGTGGTGAATGCACCCACTGGAGTGACTGGTCTAATAGTTCAGATGGTAACTGAGTTTGCTAAGAATCCATCTCCCATGTTGCTGGTGACACAGTCAAAGCTTTTGCTATCATCCCCTAGAACTGCAAGTATGAGTCTTGGGAACATATGAAGAATTAGGCAAAAAGCTGAAGAAACCCCCAACTTAAGATCCTCTCAGTGTCTATGGATGATGACGATATAGTTTATCATGTGTTCCACAGTTATTCTGAGGTGCTTTATGGGGAAATTGATTCCAGAATTTGTCCAGGTTTACTTCAGCTATTCAATACCACTTAGCAGACAAGTCTCCTTTCCTAGGACTGTGTTCAAGGATGGGAGACGGAAAGTAGTTAGAGATTTTGGAGGGCAATTAGGACAGAAGTATGCTCTTTATCCCAATGCTCAAACACATCTGTGACTGGTATGAGCCTTGCCACTCTCCACTTAGTAGCTCTCAGTCCCTATTCCTACTCCCTTTTCCCTTTTCTTTCTTTCCGTTATCATATATTGGGCATGTAATATGTTTTAAATACGAGTGATAATTTAACCATTTCTCATTCACTTACCCTGTACCAAAACCTCAACTAGATGCTGTTGTAGCTTGCTAATATAAATTTTAAAATGAAAAGGGAAATTTTAAAAAGAGAAAATAGTACGTAGATGTACCTCTAACCTCTTCTGATTCTGGGTCACCTGGCTTCTGCCATGAGCTAGAGTGGGAACACGGCAGGGAACTGTAGGAGATGTCAAAGAACAAGGTCTTAGATATTGAGGTCAAGTGTCTGACAAGGGGACAAGGTTTGAGCAGCCAATACAAATGGACAAGTGTTTACAGAGATTACGTCTTTTACTGATCATAGGGGAAAGCAAATACCTCCTTTATTCATGGGACAGAGAAGTGGGCAGCATGGAATCAAGCAGCTACCAAACTAATCAAGGCAGTCTCACTTTTCAGTGACTGGACTGTCTGGTAATTTGGGGCTCCCTATAAACGGGGGGAAATAAAGCACAGGAAGTCCCTGGTAACCTGAAGATGGAGAGGGCCTTGTGCGAACATTTGAGTCGCATTTCCTGTTTCTTAAGCCTTTATCTAAAAAAGAACAGAAGCTTAGAATTGTTGGATGAGGTGTGCCCTGACTCCTGGGCTCTTTCAGACCACATCCCTTCAAGAAGCTCTGTATTTCTGTTTTTTTTTTTCTCCTCTCTAGTGTACTCTAGTCCAGACATGAGTGGCTTCAGACTCATCATGATACTGCTTGAGCTGCTTCTTTGCTACCTTCTGCTGCACCCTGTGGATGCCATTTCAAATGGAAACCAAACAAATGTCTTGATGCATCTTCCCTCATCCTTGGAATCCTGGCCACTGTCCTCAAGCCCCTTGCTCTGCCAGGCCTTGCACCCAAAGTCCCTGTCTGGCTTTACCCACATGGACCCTCTACCCAAGTTCCTGATAGGTCTGTCACTGATGATTGCCCTGAAGGAAGCTGGCTGCCATGCTGATGTAAGGGCCCTGCAGCTTCGCGTCTACCGCCAGGGAGGTATAAATGCTACACAGATCCTAACCCAACGTCTTCAAGGGCTGGAGAAAGGCAGGAGCACAGAGAGGGGAGTGTCAGTGGATACCCTGGCTTCTGCTCTGCAGCTGCTGGCCAGGGAGCAGCTAGGCCCTGGGAGGGTCCGACGCTCCTTCGCCGTTAACAACTGTGATAATGAACAGGAGCAGGATGTGCATGATACAATCCAGTTGTTGCCAAATGTGGGAACCTTCTACAATCTGGGCACAGCTTTGTATTATGCTACACAGAACTGCTTGGACAAGGCCAAGGAAAGAGGCCAAGATGGGGTCATAGATCTGGGTTATGACCTTCTAGTGTTCATGACCGGTCTGTCAGGGGGGCCCATGGGACTAGCCGTCAGCACTATGCTTAAACCTGCAGTGAAGGCTGGGGCTGAACGGTTGATCCAGTATTACTATGAGCAAGAGGCAAACACCCCTCTTCCAGAGACCAGCAAAGAGGACTTGAGCAGTCCCTCCTATGTGAGTGACATGGCAGAAATAACTACCATGGCCCCTTTGGAGTCAGAAGTAGTAAATTCAGTTCCTTACTGGAGGTGGCCCTTTTTCAACAACTATTAGATCCTGGGAATGAAAGTTCTGAAATGTAAAAAATGGTAAACACAATAAATAAATTTAATATTCTGACAAGCTGTGTTCAGAACTCAGATCTCTGATTTGTTATGGGGGAGAAGGCAGTGCTGTAAAACGTAGGAATTTTAAAGTTTGGGGTTTGGAGGCTGAGGGTTTGATTTTGAATCCAGGCTCCACTTTTTTGAGCCTCAGTGATCACTGACTAGTCACTTCTTTCTCCAAGCTCAGTTTTTAAAATTTCTCAAGTGGAGATGATTATTTTCACCTCAATGGGCTTTGTGGAAATTAAAAACGATACAATGAACCTAAAGCACACAGCACGGTAACATTAGTAAATAGTTACTTTTTTGTTATTATTTCTGCCCTCCTCTCCCTATCCTCAAGTGTTGACATTCCAGTCCCACCTCTTCTTATGGAGTCCTAAGCCTTTCACGATCCGAGCTAGTCTCAGTTCCCTAGGGACCGAGCGAGTTCTCGGAAATCAGCAGTTTCAATTCTGCGATATTACATTGATCGGACTCCTCCCTCCGCCGATACGGGGTGGTGTTTACTTGAGGGTTCCCACCAATCACTGGAGCTGGAGGTGTGGTTTCCGCACCGCTTGTCCCGCCGTGTGGCGGGGGAGGGGCTGTGGCGGTGCCAATGAACTCACAGCCTGGGGAAGGGCTTGGCCAATGTCTGGGTGCGGGGTGGGCCAGGCGAACTCCAAGGTTTAGCTGCCCGCTGAAAACCACTGGGACGAAACGGAGGGCGGGGTGGGAGGTACCTTTGACTGAGCTCTCTCTGGAAAACGGAAGCTCTGATTAGAGCCACTGGAAGGTACTGGTTAGGGACTGAGACCCTAACCAGGAGCGAGGACTGAGACCCGAACCAGGTACGAACCCTGAGAACGCGCGTGAGAGTTGGGGGTGGAGGCGCGACCCCCTCCTGGGAAGTGCGGCAGGCCCCGGGCGCTGTGTCCCGAAGGGGTCAGCCTCTGTCCCCACTTTGAAATAGGAGCTGTCGCCTGCAGCACCCTGATCAACCCCTTCTTGTCCGGCCTAGCTCCCTAAACCTAATGACCCCTTCCCAAAATTCTCCTGCAGCCTCCGAGACCCGAAACTTGGTATTGTTGCATTGGTTTAGTGTCTTAGCCAACGCTTTTAACCTGGTCTGTGATATTTTTGATTTTCATCCCCTCCCCACACCCCCCAAAATAGATCCATGTCTAAGGGTAGATACGATCTATCATACTTATTTGTTATGTTAAAAATGATAAAATATAGAAAGGTGAAATTACTTGCCTAAGATCACATACAAAATGAAGTTCATTTCAGAAAAGCTTATTTAACACAAAATATGTGCCTTAAGAGAGTGAGAGATAACTGGAGAAGTACATAAGTGTCACAGCTCTTAACCTCAAGTGTTTGAAATCCATTTGAAAAAAACAGGTTTGTTTGTTTTCATATTTAAACCTCAGTGTTTACTTGCTGCCTTATTCTCTGTTTTTGTTTTTTGTTGGCTTTTTGGGTTTTTGTTTTTTTGTTTTTTGGTTTTTGGCTCCCTCCGGCTCTTGTTTCTTATTCAGTTTTACTCTTTTAATACCAAGAGTGAGTTCCTTGAGAACTGGGGCTTCTTCATTTGTTTTTTTAAAAGGCAATATAGGTGTACATAGTTTAAAAAGTCAAGCACTACTGAAAAGGTTAAAATGAAAAATAAGGACCCCTGCCCAATCCTTTCCTTCCCCTGTTCCTACTTCCTAGAGGTAGAAAGGCAGCTCATAATTATTCATTCTGGGGGGAAAATATTTCTCCCACCCCAAACATTTTCCTTTGATTTGTAATAAAATCATGTGACATTTTTATACCACTGATGTGCATGTTTGTTCTTTTCTGTTAGGCTCAGGCTGCAACAAGAACAAGTTTTAATTTCCTAAACAGACAAAAGGCAGTAGCTGGAGCAAGCTAGGGAGAAAGATTCTCTGCTCAGTCTACTTGATGACGGGCAAAAACCAGTTTTGAGTAAAATTTCTGGGTCCCTGACAAAGTCGATAATCCACATGAATCAGGGAGCCATTTTTGGGATTGAGTGACCCCTTGCACAGCATTTAAACATTTGGAATGGAGCTCTTCCTTCCTACATGTAGAGCAGTTTACGGAGTGTGCCTTATCTCCAAGGAAGTTTCAGCCCCTGACAAAGCTTAGGCACCAGGAGGAATCATGCTGAAATAGATAGTTATGATCCACACTACCTCTAAAAACTCCAGCATAAATGAATACATACACATATAAATTTATTGGGGAAGATAGATAAAATAAAAATGGTAGAAATATCATTAATGTTTGTTGAAAGATGGGTACATGGATGATCCTTCTACTATTCACTTTATTTTGGTGTATATTCGAAAATTACCTTTAAAATAAAAAGACCCATGTATTGGCCCTCATAAATAGTACTCCCTGGAAGAACAAGTACCAAACTAATAATATTGGTTTCTGGAGAGAAGGGTAAGGGATGAAAATTGGAAGTGAAGTCAGTCTATATACCCCTTTTTATTCTTACCTGTATAATTAAAAATTTTAAATTTGTAATAATAAAGTATGATGTGACTGTGGATGATTTAGTCCAGCAAACTTTACAATTGGGAACCTGAATCCAGACTCAGATCCCAAATGGCGCAATGGGAGATGCTGCAGAATCTCGACAGCCCATTTCAGGATCAGCTGCACCAGCTCTACACAAATAGCCTCCTGCCAATGGACATTCGACAGTACTTGGCTGTCTGGATTGAAGACCAAAACTGGTGAGGTCCTCAGGAAGCTGGAGGGTGGAGAATGAGGAAAATGGTTCCTGGTTACTTTCTTCTGGGCCCCAGGATCCTGGAGACACCAAGGGCAGGAAGGGGTTAGAAGGCCTCCGGACAGTAGCAGGCCTGCAGAGGTATTTACTAGCCTTTATCATTTCTGGTCCCCAGGCAAGAAGCTGCATTGAGCAACAATAATTCCCAGGCTAACATGCTATTCCTCCACTTCGTGGATCAACTAAACTATGAGTGTGCCCGCTGCAGCCAGGACCCCGAGTGCTTGTTGCTGCAGCATAACTTGCGAAAATGTTGTCGGGACATTCAGGTACTTGGAAGAGTTGGGAATAACAAGGTAGGAATGGGAGCTATAGGGGAGTATAGCTTGGGGTATGGAACAGGACCTGGAGATGCAAAGGGACCAGGCAGATCTGAGGAAAGGAGAACAGAGCCGGGACTTGGGGGATCACTGGCAGAGAGAAGGCCATTGTTTGGAAGAGGCTAGGGTTTGGGGACCAATGGTGAAAAGGGGAAGGGCTAGGACCCTGAAGGAGGGGAGGCCTGCTTCGCTGGTGGGAAGGTTCATTGAAGGCAGTTGAGTTTGATCAATACTCTTCACCTTCTGCAGGCCTTTTCCCGGGGTCCTATCCAGTTGGCTGAGATGATCTTTAATCTCCTTCATGAAGAAAAAAGAATTCTGATCCAGGCTCAGAGGGCCCAGGCGGTGAGAACAATTTGCTGGTAACATTGAGAGCTCCTGGAGTAGAGAGGGACTGTAAAAAAGGACTCAGAAAACTTGTCTCAGAATAAGATTCCCTAATAGTCTCTTGTACAATTTCAGACCTGGCTTTTATGGATGAAAAGTTAGTGTTGAATATGCTCAGAGCCTCTTTATTTCAGGAGCAGGAAGAGCCAGCCCTCCAGGCACCTATAGAGAGCCAGCAGCACGAGATTGAGTCCCGGATCCTGGAATTAAGGGCTATGATGGAGGTTAGTAGATGTGGCAAGAGTCAGGGTGGACAGGACTCAGCCTGCCTCCTCTAACAGAAGCAGCCTTATCTGGGTCTCATCCCTGCTACAGAAGCTGGTAAAATCCATCAGCCAACTGAAAGACCAGCAAGATGTCTTCTGCTTCCGATACAAGACCCAAGCCCCAGGTAGGAAGCACTTTGAAGGGTGGGAGAAAGACGGGGACCTGCTGGGAGACCAAGGGTGGAAGAGAGCAGAAGGGAAAAGCCCCAGCAAACAGTAATCCCCTTTCGCTACACCCAGCTGGCTACAGTGCTGCTGCCATGCAAAGCTGAAGTGCCAGGGTATGCTGTGGAGGTCGGGCTGGAGGTGTGGCTAAGGGGCAGCTAGTGAATGTTGGAGGAGATGCACAGGAAACTGCCTTGGCAGATAGAGTGGGCTCCTCTTTCAAGCAGGACCATTCAGAATTCGCCTGAGGACCCAGAAGTGCCCGTGCGTTGCTTTGGTTCCTTTCTTCTCCCTTCAGAATCCCCCCTTCCTGACTCTGACTGAGGTCTGGGCCAGGAAGGTGAGGGGAAGGAGCCCTAGGCCTGAGCACTTGTCTCACTTCCTGCTCCTGCCATCCAGTGAGGACACCTTCTTTGGACCCCCATCATACCAAACAGCAGCAGCTTCTGCAGGAAACTCTCAATGAATTGGACAAAAGGAGAAAGGTGGGAGGCAAAGGAGAGAGGGAGTGGGCAGGAGGGAACTGGGGGAAAGGAAGGGCCTGGGAGCTCTGGCTGCTTAGCCTTCGCCTCTTTGTCCCTTTTATCCCCAGCTGAATGGTGGAAGGTGATGGTGAGAGATGCTCACCTCTCACTTATGTCTTTTTTTAGGAGGTGCTGGATGACTCCAGAGCACTGCTAGGCCGATTAACTACCCTAATTGAGCTACTGCTGCCTGAGTTGGAGGAGTGGAAAGCCCAGCAACAGAAAGCCTGCATTGGAGCCCCCATGGTCAGAGGGTTAGAACTTGTCCAGCTAGAGAAGTGGTAAGAGGCACCTTCCCTGCCATCATGCTCACCCAGCACTAGTCCTAGCCACTGCCCTGTGCTGTGTAAATTGTACTGCCCTGTATATGGCAAGAGGTATTGCTCTCCTGAATCCCTGCTCCCCAGAATGATCCTAGCTTCCTTATCTGACTATAACTGCACTCTGCTCTTCATTCTTAGTACCCAAGCCTGGAGCCCTTCCTCCTTTCTTTCTTTTTTTTTTTTTCTTTTTGTAATTTATTGATTTTTTTTTTTTTTTTTTTTTTTTTTTGTGAGAGAGAGAGAGAAAAGGAACATCGATTTATGCATTCACTAGTGGTTGCTTCTTGGATGTGCCCTGACCGGGGAATCAAACCTGCACAATAATATAACCAACTGAGCTACCCGGCCAGGGCTAGAACCTTTCCTTTTTAATCACAGAAGAGAAATAGGTCTTCTACTCTTTTGTGTGCAATGAATATCATGAAAAAAAAATTTACTTACTACTTTACTACCTAGACGTAGCTACTATAACATTATTAAACAAATACTGAATCATACCATTCATACTGTTTTGAGACATGTGGGCTTCTTTGTTTTTTTCAACTTACAGTATATTATATTTACCCATGTTAGTTTCAATGGTTTCATTACAGTTCCTTATATGAAGGTAACATTAGTTAACTCTGTTTTTGGACACTAAGGTTGTTTTTAATTTCTTGCTATTTTCCCAGTAAGCTTTTTATTTTACATTAGTTTTATTGTGATGTAAGAAAAAAGGAATGTGTCCTTCAACATACTTGAAAAATACCTACTGTTTTAACTATTTTCTCATGAGGAAATTCATTATAATTTCAACTATACAGGTAACTTAAAAATATACAGGTAAATTAAAAACACGTATATGGGGCTTCAGATACATGATCGATATTGGAATTATTTAAATAACCTCATAGCTACATTTTTATTTACATTCCTAATTATCTCTGTAATGTAAGTTGCCAGAAGTAGTATTTCTGGGTTCAAGTATGTATCTTTCCTTGCTGGTGGTGATAGTGTTATTATGTTGACTTTTTGTTTTGTTTTGTTTGCGAATATGTTCATTAAACCTGGGGACAGGGAAACAAGGGAGGGCTTAGGATAGGAGAAGCAACAGGAGAGAGAGAGCCTTGGCGGGGCTGCTGTGGCTCTGTATAAGGAAAACCTTACAGGCCAAGGCGAGGCTGCAGTCAGCTCACTGGAGAGTCAGAGAAACAGGGCCTTGGAGGCAGTTTCAGGGGGTTAGCACTGTACAGCCGCTGCCCATTGCTCCCCGGATTGCAGGTCTCATGGGTCCCTTAGAGTTTAGGAGATGCAGCCTCTGGGGGAAGAAGACTGGTAAGGCAAAGGTGTGGGCATGCTCACAGGAGGAAGAGCACACCTAGCCTTCTTTCATTGTTTTTAATAGAAAGAGCCTTATTGCTTTTTCTGATTATAAATATCATGTACACCATTTGAAAAAATTTCAGACAACGCAAAAGAGAAAAGAAAGTTAAAATCACCCGTCTGTATAATCTGATCACAGAGAGGTAGGTACTGTCTGCTAATGCTTTTGCATATTTTTTCCAATGCATATACAGAAAAATAACATCTATTTTAAACATAAATCAAATCATTTCATATCTAGCGCTAACTGGTGTGGTTCCATTGGTCGGCCACAGAGTGAAAGGTTGCCACTTCAGTTGCTGGTGGTGGCACATGCCTCGCTTGCGGGTTTGGTCCACCATCGGGGCATGTGCAAAAGGCAGTCAGTTGATTTTTCTTGCTCATGTTGATGCTTCTCTCCCTCTCTTTCTCCCTCCCCATGTCTCCAAAAATAAATAAATGAAATCTTAAATAAATCATATCATATCTGCCCTGGCTGGTGTGGCTCAGCGGATTTGAGTGCCAGCTTGCAAACCGAAGGGTTGCTGGTTCAATTCCCAGTCAGGGCAGATGCCTGGGTTTCAGGCCAGGTCCCTGGTAGGGGGTGTGTGAGAGGCAGCCATACATTGGTGTTTCTCTCCCTCTCTTCCTCCCTTCCTCTCTCTTTAAAAATAAATAAATGAGATCTTTTTAAAAAATCATATCTATGCTATCTTACAATTTTTTAAAAATATTTTTGGGTATCTTTCCATGTAAAATATTTGAGGCTATATCATTATTTTTAATGGTTGCATTATATTTCATGATGTGACTATGCCATAATTTATATATGTATAACCAATCGTTTCCAATTTTTCTATTACAAATAACAAAACTATGAACTCTCAGGTACATTTGTCTTTGTCTTTGTGTCTGATTATTTCCTCAGGATATATCTCAGAAATGGAATACTGTAAAGTGTATGTACATTTTTTGAGGCTTTTAAAAATTAGTTTCAAATGGCTATCCCAGTTTATTTGCTTATATATGGTATATGATTGTTTTCCTGTCACATTGCCTATTATTACTTTTTTTTTAATAGCGACAAAGTGTAGAAGTCAAAAGTATGAATTGCTCAGCCAGACTGCCTGAGATTACATCCAGCGTCATTCCTTACAACTTTTACGACCTTGAGCAAGCCACTTAACTGTTCTGTGCCTCTGTTTTCTCATCTGTAAAGTGGGGAAAATGCTAGTGCCCACTTCATAGGGTTTTTGTAAGGATTAAATGCATAAATGTGTAAAGCACTTAGAATAAATATTATATATCAAGGATCATATGAAAGTTAGCTTTATTACGTTAATCTTTTATCAGTTTTAGTGTGAAAGTAGCTTTGATTTTCATTTCTTGGATTATGACTCATGTTCTTTTTTTTTTTTGTCCCAAACAGTTTCTAAATCTCTGCATAGTTAAGGTTCTAAGGGCTTAGAACCTATTTAGGGGTTCCAGGAAACTCATGGATTCTCTGTCCTTGGCTTCTGTCACTCAGGTTTACTGATGGAGCAAAGCTATTGTTTCATCTGCGGCAGCTGCTGAAGGAGCTGAAGGAATTGAGTCTCTTGGTTACCTATCAGAATGACCCTCTGACCAAAGGAGTGGACCTGCAGACGGCCCAGGTTATAGAATTGCTACAGCGGCTGCTCCACAGGTTTAGAGGCCAAGGAGGGACATCTAGGGAGGGCAGAGGGGAGGAACAGGGGGAGCCATTCTCACAGATGCTAAGCTATATATTCCGTCCACATCTTTCTTCCCAGAGCCTTTGTGGTAGAAACTCAGCCCTGTATGCCACAGACTCCCCATCGACCGCTCATCCTCAGGACTGGGAGCAAGTTCACTGTCCAAACAAGGTTGGCATTTCAGAATTTATTCCTGATTCCTTTTTCCAGACCTCCCACTGTTTGTTTTCTGGCTTTACAGATCTTTCCACTCGTGGCTGTTTCTTCTTTTCCTTCCCCTCCATCAACCTGTCTCTTCTAATCTCTTTTCCAAACACCTGATCTATTCAGGGAATTGAGGTTGACCACTTCTCTCATCTACCTCTTTTTCCCCCAGGCTGCTGGTAAGACTCCAGGAAGGCAGTGAGTCACTGACGGCAGAAGTCTTTATTGACAGGTAAGTTGGAGCAGGTGATGGATAGGACCAGGGAGTGGCCAGGACATGGGCCGACAGAGCAGAGGAGACACCTACCTCATAGAAATAATAACTCATCCCTTTTGTTGAGCACTTCATATGTGACATGCACCTTGTCAAACACTCATTTAATTGTCAATTCACCATTCAAATAAGAAGACAAGGTTGGAGAGATGATGTCCTTGTGGAAGTCCACATAGCTAGTAAGCTGCACATTTGGGTTTGAACTCAGATCTGTCTGATCCCAGAGACCAAATTCCTAATTTCTACACTGTTTTTCTTCCCAATGATTTTTATTTATTTACACACACACACACACACACACACACTATATTTTTATTTATTTATTTATTTATTTTGTATTTCTTTTCAGGAATCCTCCTCAATCACAAGGGTAGGTACCTGACAGAAATGCTGCAAACATTTGTGCACTGCGTGGCCTGTACAACCGTGCGGGGCAGCCCTGATGGGGGCACAAAGTAGAGGTCGATTGCGTGGCATCTAAGCAGAGGGAGATGGAGAGGTCTGAAATGAAGCGGCACTTCTGTTGCTTTCCTGCTGAATTTTAGAATAACTCTGTTCCTGTCCCTCATCTCTCTTTTCCCTCCTGGAATAGCTTCCGGAAGTTCAACATTCTGACCTCAAACCAGAAAACTTTGACCCCTGAGAAAGGACAGAGTCAAGGCTTAATCTGGGACTTCCGTTACCTGGTAAGAAGGACTGGTAGCTTAAGTTTCTAGTCCAATGAAACAGGCTGGGGCAAGTTCCGAGGCCTTGGGAAGTCTTGAGGACAAAATAGGGGTTCCAGGGACACTGAGGTCCTTCCTCTGGCATTCTTTCCCCTGCCCCTCAATTCACAGACTCTGGTGGAGCAACGTTCAGCTGGTTCAGGAAAGGGCAACAATAAGGTGAGTCCTGGACAGGGGGTTGGGAGTAGAAGGAATGTGCCAAAGGGCCCCCTTGACCACTGTGTCTTTGGCTGTCCCAGAGTCTGCTTGGTGTGACAGAGGAACTGCACATTATCAGCTTCATGGTCAAATACACCTACCAGGGTCTGAAGCAGGAACTGAAAGTGAGTAAAAATGGAGGGCAGGGAGAGATGAAACCATTTTGGGAGAAAGCATAAGGCAGGGTTAAACAGAAACCCCTCAGGGCGAAATATTACCCGTTGCCCCTACCAAATGCCTGCAGCTAAAACCATTACAGCCTCCTCTGTGATTCCTGTCTTCTCCCCAGACGGACACCCTCCCCGTGGTGATTATTTCGAACATGAGTCAACTCTCAGTTGCCTGGGCCTCAGTTCTCTGGTTCAATCTGCTCAGCTCAAACCCCCAGGTAGGAGGTGGGGCCAACAGGCAAAGGGTGGTTAGGAGGGATGTGGCAGGTTGGTGTAAGGGTGTCACTCTGAGCCATTCTGTCCTCCTCCCACTCCTACAGAATCAGCAGTTCTTCTCCAGCCCCCCCAAGGCCCCCTGGAACTTGCTGGGCCCTGCTCTCAGTTGGCAGTTCTCATCCTACGTTGGCCGAGGCCTCGACCAAGACCAGCTCAACATGCTGAAGAACAAGCTGTTTGGTACAGACCTCATTTTCTTTCTGCCCCAGCCCTCTGGCCTTGCCTCCTTTCATCATCTAACTGTCTCTCTGCCACAGGACAGAACTCTGGGAAGGAGTGTGCGATGTTGTCCTGGGCTGACTTCACTAAGGTAATGCCCTGCATCCTGGGCAGCTAGATCTTAGTCCCCAGTCCAGGCTCCTGCCCCTCCCGCACCAATCCTGCCCCACACCAAGGGCAGCTCCGTATCTCTTCCTGCCTTTCCATTCCTCCTTCAGCGTGAGAGTCCCCCTGGAAAGCTCCCATTCTGGACATGGCTAGACAAAATTCTGGAGCTGGTACATGACCACCTGAAGGATCTATGGAATGATGGGTAAGACCTTCATCAGCCACCCTCTCCTCAGGTCTTTTGGGGCTTGAGAGTGGACTCGGTGCGCCCTCGTGTGGCAAATAGGGAGCGAGAGCAAAAACTCGTTCCAGGTCACACCCCCTTCACATTTGCAGTAAGTCAGAGCCAGTATTTGTCAAGCATGTACTGTGTTCCAGAGCCTGCTGGGTGCTTTCGTGAATGCTCTCATGTAATCCTTAGAACTGAGCTGAGTGGTGGGTGTTGCCTCCCTTGTTTCAAGTGAGGAAATTAAAGAACTTAGGCAAGGGGCCAAGTTGGGATTTAAACCCAGTCATGCCTGAAGCCAAGTGTATGCTTTTCCCACCACACTGCCAGCCCATATGCGCAGCACTTTGCTTTTTATAAGGTGCATTTGATCTGTATGGCCTCACTGAATCCCCACATCTCTTCCAACCCTGGGAGGTGGATATTGTCAGTGAAGTGAAGTGACTTGGCCACAGTGGAACAGTTTATAAGGGGCAGAGCCAATGCCAAAAGCTGGCCCTCTCTCCCTATCCAAGAAATCAGGGAGGCAGGCAGGTCTCTCAGCTGCATTTTCTGCTCCAGACGCATCATGGGCTTTGTAAGCCGGAGCCAGGAGCGCAAGTTGCTGAAGAAGACCATCTCTGGAACCTTTCTGCTGCGCTTCAGTGAAACATTGGAAGGGGGCATTACCTGCTCCTGGGTGGAACACCAGGACGATGGTCAGCTGCTCTGCCTTGCTGTTCCCACAGCCTCTCCTTTCTGCCCTTCTCCTTGTCCTTGGCTTCCCTGGCTCTGTCCTGAATCCCTCAGCAGGCCTGGGCTTGGGCAGGCATGGTGGGCAGCTCCCAGGCCCGGCCTCTTCTCCCAAGCCTGCCTGTTCTTGTATCCACTCTCCAGATAAGGTGGTCATCTACTCTGTGAAGCCCTTCACCAAGGAGGTGCTGCAGTCACTCCCGCTGACCAAAATCATCCACCACTACCAGCTGCTCACTGAGGAGAACATACCGGAGAACCCACTATGCTTCCTCTACCCCCGAATCCCCCGGGATGAGGCTTTTGGGTGCTACTATGAGGACAAAGGTGAGAGTCATGGACATGCTTCACTGGTAGATTGCAGGCATCCAGAATTCCAACTCCTTCCTTACAAACATGGGGAAACATTGAATAACCAGAGAAGTTAAGGGGTTTGTTCACGGGACACTGCTAGTTAATGAGATATGACTGTAACAGCCATAGGTCTGTGTCCAGTCTACTGACCTCCCCACCCCTTGTGTATGTCCCCCACAGTTAATCTCCAGGAACGAAAAAAATACCTGAAACATAAGCTCATTGTGGTCTCTAACAGGTGAGTTGTGAACTCCTCGGCCATCTCCCCAACCCTTTCTGGCTGACACAGTGAATCGAACTCACCCAGTTCCAGTCTTTCTGGCCTTTTCTCTTACTAATCCATACTTTCTAGTCCTCTGGGCTTTTTCCTGCTCTTCTAGTCTCTCTCCTCTCTATTTTCCTGCTGCCTCTCTTAGGTTCCACAGGGGTTCCCTGATAATAGTGGTCATAGTCAGTGATGTTCATGGACATCTGCTTGATGCCAAACATGGTACTAGATATTTTAGAACATTTAAAAAAATTTAATCCTTATGAGAATTCATGTGAGTAGGAACATTTAATGAAAGTTTATTGAGGACCAGACACTAGGCTAAAGCTTTGTGTTCATTTTCTCATTTATTGAATCTTCACAATGGTCCTCTGAGGCAGACACTGTTACTACTGTTTTCAGCTAAGGAAACAGGTTGAGAATAGTGAAATGCCAGGCTTCAGGTACATGACTACTCAATGATCCAGGTCTGTCAGGTTCCAGAGCCCTGCTTTTAGCCATCCTCCTGGCTCTCAAGTATTATTATGTATTGTTCCCATTTTACAGATGATAAATCTGAAGACCAAAGAAGTTAGTTAACTTGCCTAAGGTCACCCAGTTAGTAAGTGTTAGGATACAAACTCTGGCAAATCCTGTGCTCTTTTGTTTTTCTCTTAAATTTTTATTTATTGATGCGGGGAGGATATCGATTTGTTTTTCCACTTCTTTATGCATTTATTGGCTGATTCTTGTATGTGTCCTGACTGGGCATCGAACCTACAACCGTGGCATATCGGGACAATACTCTAACCAAGTGAGCTACCTGGCCAGGACAGAGCAAAACTTGCACTTTTAAGCCCTCTGCTCTATTACCTTCTTACACTAGAGAGGTAGCCTCTGTCTGCTCTACCACTCCCCACTTTACCTAATGACTGAGCCCTCTCCCTTTGTGTGTATTGGGATATCCAGACAGGTGGATGAGCTGCAACAACCACTGGAGCCTAATCTGGACCCAGAAGTGGAGTCATTAGAGCTGCCTTCAGGGCTGGCACCATGGCCAGAGCAAGAACTAGGTCTGGAGATAGAGCCACTGCTACAGGCAGGGCTGGATCTGGGGCCATCGCTGGAGTCCACACTAGATGCAGTACCAGAGACAAACCTGGGACCAGAACTGAGGCTGGAGCCTATTCTAGAGCCTATTCTAGAGCCAGTGCCAGAGCCAGAGTCAGATTTGCCCCATGATCTGAGACACTTGAACACTGAGGAAATGGAAAGTAAGTGATGAGATGGGGCTGGGGAAAAAGGCATACCTTCCCTTTCCCAAGTCTTCTCCCTTACCCATTACAGAGAAGACCCAGATTTAAGGTCCTTTTTGGAGAGGAGGCTCATTTCCTTTTAATTCCTCTTATTAGGAAATGCACACAGCAATCCCTGCCCCACCTAAGTGCCCCCTCAGGCCCTCCCAACCCTTACTTTCCTTGCTGGGTTGGGAACCCCCTGCCTGCTATCAGGGCCTGACTTCTTTCTCTGGACTACCCAGTCTTTAGAGACAGTATGAAGATTGAAGAAATCATGCCAAATGGAGACCCACTCTTAGCTGGCCAGACCACCGAGGAGGAGGCTTACATCTTCCACCCCAGCCATTTCTACACAGATGGGCCCTTGATTCCTTCTGACTACTAGGAACTATGTTTCCTCTGTTCTTTCCATATCTTTTTACCCCTGCTCACCCCCACATCATGATGTTCTCCAAGTGTAGGAAATCAGACATGTGTCCCTTCTAAGCTGGGTGAACCCTGTGACTTGGAGTGAAAGGTACAAGCATAATGTGGGCCATATGTTGGCCATTGCTCTAACTAGGATGCTGGAGGCTGCCTGCTGCCCTGGGAGGCACAGTGGTTTTAGGAGCAGGCCAGGACAGTTAGATACACGGAGAGTTCAGAGAAGTTGCTTCTTTCTGGTGTGGAAGGGTTTCAGCATTTTAATAGCCAGTCAGACCAACCTCATTCCCACTAGCATTGGCTCTGAGTGGGGAATTGACCCATGACAGGGCTCCATTTCTCCCCTCACGTGTAGGATAACCCTCCCCTTCCTCCTTCCCCTCACTCCTGAGTCAAGCCCTACATTTCCTCTTTTCCTATAGAGACTGAGAGCTTTCTGCCTCAGCCACCATGTGAAGCTTCCCTCTGAGGGAGGGAGGAAGAGGTAGACCTCCTCTTCTTACCAGTCTCCTACCCAGCCCCCCAAGCTGGCCACACCCATTCCTCCCTGGAAAAATGATCCTAACAGCCTCATGTGCCTGTGAAGCTTTGCGCAATAACTTATCCTGCCCGGTTTCCATTTTCCCAATGTTTAGGAGACAAAGCACTCCTGGAGGCAAGGGATGGTATGGGTGCTGGGGATTGAGTTACACTTTTTATAGTATGGATGGAACTTGGTATTTTTAACAGAGGAAGAGAAGCCCTGGGTCTTACATATTTCTCTATTAAAATACCATCCCTTCCTTTTGTACAATATATTGTTTACCTGAAAAGATGGTTTCTATTCCCTGGGCATGGACCTGGAAGTCCCTGGAACTTAGAACTGTGAAGGTCCCTCATGGAGCTCTGGACAACATCACACCTTAGCCATTCCCAGGGAACCCCAGGACAACTGTTGCTTTAAGAAGTGCTTCTAGGAGAACCTGCGATGTAAATGAAAGCTCTACACATGTAGTTTTCTGCCTGGTATGTTACAGCAGCAATTTTCAACCTTTTCATCTCATGGCATATATAAACTAATGACTAAATTCTGTGACACACCAAAAAAAAACATTTTTTTCTGATCTGACCAAAAAAAAAAAAAAAAACAAAATAGGTGTAATTCTGATTCATTCGTACCATATGGCTATTGTGTTGGCTGTTATCTTTTTTTTTTTCCTTGCGGCACGCTGGTTGAAAATCGCTGTGTTAGAGAAACAGTAATATTCAGAAAGAGGCCCATCTGAGCAGAAGTGGCTAATAACCTTTGTGCTGACCTAGAAATGTTTTCTCTTTGAATTTCTTTACTTCTCTGCTCACAAAGACTAATGTTCTTGAGGACACCAGCAGGTCATGTAGGATCAAGGTCAGCAAATCATGGCCTGTCTTCCACCCACCCCAGTATACCCCTTTCATTATGTTTCTTCTTACCTCCCTGTTTAGAGCAGCCTTTCCTGACCCATAGCATTTTCTAGGGGTGCTGAAAGCTATATGTGGGGAGGGGGTGAGTAGCTACATAACTAGCCTGTTGTTCCTTAGCTGGTTAGTGCCAAAGCCAAATTTTAAACCTGGGTCTGCCTGACTCCAAAGCCCATGTCTCTTTTTGATGTTGTGAAGATGGAGAAAAGGATGGGCAATAATCACTATCCCCTTCTTAGACTCTTTCTAAGGTAGTTTATAACCAGACTCCCTTCTGAGAGGGCCCACAGAGATCCATCGAAGGAGAATTCCAGTAGTTTTAGGGACTTACTTTTCCTAGAATGCCCTTCCTGCTCGAACAACTCTGACTTTGATCCTACAGTGATCGGGATTTTGTCTTTGGCCAAATACACTCTTGGCCCAGAAAGCAGGGAAGGAGCCACTGGGTAGTGGACCAAGAGAGGTGCCCCATTTCCTAATCTCAGCCTCTTGTAATCTCTTTCATCTTGCTTAGCCGTACAGGGATCAAGACCAAAAAGATCCCAGTTATGCTATATGTTAAGGGGTCAAAAGGAAGTATCATCTCTACCATAGTTCTGCAGAGTAGAAGAGGGATGCATATTGTAGTCCCTTGTCCCTATATTTCATTTGTCTTTTCCCCCAACCAAATCTAGAAATGAGACTCAAATACTTCATAAATAAGTTTATTTTAAAAAGTACATAATTAAGTATAAATATAATAAATAATCCTCCCTCCTTATATTGCTGCCAAGAGGATAAATAACCCCAATTTTCCCTTCCCATCTAATAAATACTCAACAAGAACTAGGTCAACATCGTAAATTCGCCAGTATTGGTAATTTTTCAACACATGCAAATCCCATTAGATTAATGGACTGCCCTGGCTGGTGTGTCTCAGTGGACTGAGCGCCGGCCTGCAAACCGAAGGGTCACTGGTTTGGTTTCCAGTCAGGGCACATGTTTGGGTTGTGGGCCAGGTCCCCAGTAGAGGATGAGCAGAAGGCAAACACATTGATGTTTCTTTCCCTCTCTTTCTCCCTCCCTTCTTCTCTCTTTAAAAATAAATAAATAAAACCTTAAAAAAAAATGGACTGGCTCTAGCTGGTGTGGCTCAGTGGTTGAGCACTAGCCTGCGAATGGTCACCATTTCGATTCCCAGTGTCGGGCACATGCCTGGGTTGCAGGCCAGGTCCCCAGCAGGGGGCGCGTGAGATGCAACCATACATTGATGTTTCTCTCCCTCTCTTCCTTCCCCTCTAGAAATAAATAAATAAAATATTTTTTTAAAATAATGGACTGGTTGACTTGTTGGCTCACATCTTAGCAATGCTGAGCCATGAAGATCTGGATGCCATCCTTAAGCTGTTGGCTTTAGGGGCTCAGAGTGGCAGCTCCATGGGCAAAGACCCGGGCAGCTACAGCCATAAAGGCCTGGAGGCTGCGAAGGATCTTGGGGCGGAGAAGGAGGCGCTCCCACGGTTGGCTGGGACTGGGGCTTGGAGTCTGCTCGGTCTCCCGGTGGTGCCCCTCAGGCTGAAAGGATACAAGACACAGTTAGAGAGGACTCTAGATCCTTCACCCCACCCCTAGTCAGAGATTTCAAGCCACCATCCTCCAGGCCCGGCTAGTTCATACCTGCAAAAGCTGCCTGAGACCCAGTAAGGAGGCATGAAGCTGGCTCACAGGGCCATCATGGAGTAGAGAAGGCTCCCCTGTGAAAATGTCTGAACCCAGCAGCTTCTCATAAAAAACGAGGCCTTGGTGGATCCTTTGCAAGCAGGACTGGGAAGAAAAAGCAGTGAAAGAAAACTAATACCCTCTTCTTACTCCATTCACTAAAGACCAATCCAGTTATTTGTCTTTCCTAGATAGAGTTATGGTCTGAATGTTTGTGTCCCCTCAAATATTCACACTGAGATCCTAACCCCCAATGTGATATTAGGGGGTAGGGCCTTTGGGAGACGATTAGGTCATGAGATTGAAGCCCTCATGAATGGGATTAGAGTTCATAAAAGAGACCCACGGAGCGCCCAATCCCCTTCTGATGACGGAACTTGGAAGAGGGCCCTCACCCAGTCATGCTGGTACTCTGATCTTCTTGGGTGTGGACCTGGAGAAATTTATTTTTCACAGCCTCCAGAACTGTGAGAAATTTCTGTTTATCAACTACCCAGTCTATGGTATGTTGTTACAGCAGCCTGAATGGACAAGGACAGATACAACTTTATACTAATTCACTATGGTGCCTAGATATGTCCCCATTCCCTCTTCCTTGTGGCCCAGCCTCATCTTAGTACCTGACTGTTGTCCCTGAGTCCTTGGGGATCACAGCCATCTTCACACTGGATATGGGGCACATCATTTGTAGCCTCATTATCTCCTTTTTCTCCTGCTTCTCTTGGTAGATCCTGGAATGGAGCAGAAGCATAAAATAAGGACTTTCAAACCCTATATGGACTCTGAGGCCTATGACTCTCCCAGGAGCCCCACTCCCCTGTCCTCTCTCACTCCCTAATGGCCTTCAGCCATCCAGCTTCCACCCAAGGCCACAGTCTTCCACTGCAGCCTTCGAGAGCTTGGAGAGGCTTCTGTTTAGTCCCAGAGGCTGCCACTCACCACATGTCCCATTGGTGGATGTGCACTCCAGGCCAGTGTGCAGAGCTTCTGTGAGAGCTGCTGGCACCGAGCCCACGCAGGGCTGCTGCCTTCGGGCACAGCCCGGCCCCGAGCAGTCCAGGGTGGCAGCACCAGCAGCACCAGCAGCATCACAGCTCTGCTTCCCAGCATCTCGGTGCCTGTGGAATCTGGCCACTTCCCCTCGCTCAGAGCCTGATTCTTTCTGTTCGGTGCGTCTCTGCTTTGGTTTCCTCTGTTCTCTGAGGTTCTGAGCTGCTTCCCTTAATTTTCTCCTCTTGTCTCTGCGTCCCTTTTTAAGGTCCCTGCATTGTAACACCCGCCCTTTATACTAGCAGGTGACTCACATCAGGTGGGATTCCCCTCCCTGCATCATCCCCCTCCATGGGGAGCCCAGGTATGCAGCCTCAGTTCCAGGGGAAATGACTAGTGTGGTTGCTGTGGCTGGAGGCCTGGGATGAGACGTATGTGTAATGCTCTTCAGGAATTGAAATGGCTGTAGAAGGGGGTGGGGTGGGAATAACAAATATTTAAATGAACCTAGTTTCAAGTTCCTTCCTGTTTAACCTTCTCCTGATCCTTTTGCCTCTCAAAGATATGCCCCCCCCCAGTAGTTTCCTTACCTCCCCCTGCCTGAGGAAAAACCAAAACAGAAGCATTCATTTATTTCCCAATAAGATGGCAAGCTCAGTTTGGAATGAAGTTTGGTTCCCACTAGATGCCCTTTAAAAATAAGAGGGCTCTTTTTTTCTCCATTGGAAACTGTTGTTTTCACTGGGAGAGAATGGACTTGAAGGTACTTTGAGTACTGGGGAGAGCCACATAAATGCTGTGTAAAGTGTTACTGCTTCCCCACTTCAGGCCTCACTGTGCAGGGTAGGGGGGCTGCTGGAGGGGGAATTTGCTGCTAACAACCATCTGATTGTTCAACTTTAGTGGCCCAAAGTTTCATGGGCTCTGTAGGATGCAGGTGGGTTTTTTTGTTTTGTTTTGTTTTTGTTTGTAGGGAGGGTGTCACCAGTGTTAAGCACAGGCTAGAAGTCCAGTTTAGGTATTCCAGCCCCTACACCATGGCTAAGGAGTCTCGGAGTGCTGGATAGTTGAAGGTGCACAGTGTCAATGACCCTGACCAGCCCTTCAGCCTGTTGCATCCATGGGTAAAATCCACTGACACTGATTTCATCACTCTCCCTGATGCAACATCAGTGAAACAGCTGAGAGTGTGAGGTTAGGCGTGGGAGTGGAGGGTGGTCCAGTTCTGGGGCTGCCCCAACCCTAGTGGAGGGTCCCAGGACAATTTGGACGTCAGAGTGAAGCCATGAGTGACCACACAGATGGCTCTCAAAGCCTCCACAAGATGTTGACCCTTTTCCTTTGAGAAACTTACCCTCAACAGAGGTCTCTGTTCCCTTAGAACTACTCAAAACTTCCCAGTGAAACTTCTGATTCAAATATGACTCCCTGGTAAATCCACCGTTTGGATAAAACATTTTCAGCCTCAGAGATGTTATCTCAGTTTGAGTGAGAAATGGTTTGCCTCTCCCCAAGTACAGTGGATACACACAGAATAAGGAAATTGGTGGTAGCCATTGGAAGTAGGGGAGCTCACCTTACTTCTGTATAATGTGTCCTCTGCTTTTCCCATCCCTGATCGCCATTCTGGGAGCCCTAAAGGATAGGAGATGAAAGGTGAAAAGGAGGAGGAGGAAGTGGAGCCCTGGGGGATGAGATGACAGGGACAAGGGTGAGCTGGAGGCCTGGGGTTCTGCTGTTTTGTTTCACTTCCTGGTGCTCCGGGAGCTGGGTAGGAAGCAAGGTTGGTGGGGCGATTGTGGGACTGTTGTGGGACAGGAACTACTTCCAGGACTAGATATGACCTGGAGCTGCAAGGAGTCCTTGACGTCAGCAGGGCTTTAGCTGTTATGCAAATCACATTCACAAGACACTTTTAAGCAGACCTTTCCAGACCTTAAGCAGACCGAGGCTCCAAATCCAGTTGAAGTCCCTCCAGCCGGTTAATATCAATGGCTAATATATGGGGTGGGACAAAAGTAGGTTTGCAGTTGTTCATATGGAAAATAATACAATAATTAATAAATAATACAAAATAAACTATTTTGTGTACTCACAATTGTAAACCTACTTTTGCCCCATCCTATATCTCCAGCTCTCACTTTATGCCAAGTACTTGATCTAAGCACTTTTCATGTATTAACCCATTTAATTCTCACGACAACCTAATGAGGTAGGTACTATTATTATCACCATATAACAAATGAGGAAACTGAGACACAGAGATAAGTAACTTGCCCAAGATCACAGAGCTACTGTGTAGCCAGAATTCCAGTGCACTCTGGCTTCAGATCCTGCATTTTCAATCGTTCCATTATAGTAGACACTGTGAGGAGACACAAAGCATCTGAAAAAGTAGCTCATTGAGCCCAGGTATCTCTGGGTATCTCCGATCTTGTAATTCTCATGGGTCTGTGAAGTTTTTCTCAATTAGAAACCTCAGTATAGAAATTTCCCTAAGTGTAGAAATTGTCTAGGTCTTTCAGCATCCTTTTTTTTTTTTTTTTTTTTTACAAGATTTTAAATCTAAAGACCTGTGAAGTTAGATTAATTTGAGAGACCTTCCGAGTTAAAGTGTTTTTCTCTTGGTCTATGACCTCTGACTGAGTCTAGGACCATACTGAGTCCTGAAATTTAAATTCTGGGGTCCTTATATACAGGTCTGTGTACCCCCCTTTACTGAGGGTGAGAAATGTTTTAAAACGGTATTCTCTGTGAGGAATTCCTTCCACCGAAGAGGCCCTCCATGTGGCCTTTAAAGCTGAGCTTAAGTGCCTTGGACACATCTCACAACTTGGATCCATTTCAAAGAAGTTAAAGCTCAGACAGAGTTAGGACCCAAGAATCCCTCTGAGTAACTGTTGATGCTAAATCTGTAGGAGTTTTGAGAAGACAAATGTCTCAATTTACCGTGCTCAAGCCCCCGTGAGGGACTATGTCCAGCTCCAAGAGCTAGGGGAATTTGATAGCTGAGGGATGCTGTTCCCTGGGAATATTACCGGGCCTCTGGGGAGGTTATAATCACAGGCGGGTGTTTCAGATGGATACCCTTAGACTCTCAGAAGATGCAGCTACTGAGCCTTGTTAGGGGCCTGGCTCCCGCTTCCTTTTTTCTCTCACATATCTGGAGGTGATAGGAAATGACAGAGCGTTTCGGAGGCAGCAGAGTCAAAAGGGGCGGAATAGCTCACAAGAGCACTGGGAAAGTGGGGATGGACCGGCTGTAGTGGGAATACCCAGCAGTCGATCCCCAGTGCTTTGCCTTGAGAGTCCCTGATTACAGTTTCTTAAATTACAGGGAACAAGAAAGTTCCGTTTCGGAACTGGCGTTCTCTAATCTTGTTCAAAGGCCTAAAAAACAAGGGATTACTTTTTAACGATACCACGTACGGTCAGGCCAGGACTACATTTGTCCCGATCGGCGTGCCGTAACCCTTGTTTTTGCCCGGCTATGCGCACCAACCTCTTCGCGGAGCTGTCTGAACCTGGCTTCTTCTGATTGGCTTAGGTGGGCCCCAAGCCCTTCCTGATTGGGAGCTGCGGCTAGGAGTCCGCCTTCTTTCTGTCGTAGAGTTCGGTTGAGCCGGAGGCGCGGGGGAGAATTGGGGAAACTGGAATTTCCCACGTAGCTGACGGCGCTTGTTCTCCCCCTACTCGTTTTAATTCCACGCGCTCCAAAATATCCGCCATGGAGAAATCTTGGTAATGACCCAATCCCCGTAAGCATCCTAGGAACACATCTGACCCCTGCCCTAAACCCCCCCTTTCCTACCGCCGGGGGAGAATTCTGGGTAGTTCATTTCTTTGGTTCCCCCATGGAATTCTGGGCAACTAGCCATTTTTATCAGTCCCCCTACCCGCGCCCCAATTGTGGGTAACTGGCCATTCTTATTTTCTCTTAGAGAATCCTGGGTAACATTACAGAGGATTCTGGGAAACTGGCTTCTCATGTTCTCGCAACCCTCCACCTCCAAGCCCTAATTCAGGGGAATTAGCACCTTACCCCCCTGCTCTATCCATTTCCTACCTCTGCAATTGCTGCTCCTTCCACTGATGGTTCAGGGGTGAACCAGGCAAGTGAGCAGGCCTGAAGGGAAGTGAAAAGAAATGCGAGGATTAGGTTAGATAGTTGGGTTGGGGGGAGTACAGAGGGCATCGAGGAGAAGAGGAAGGGAGGATACTTCTCCCACCTCTGCCCCGCTGTCCCCTAGCCGTTCCTTCCTGCTTCCTCCCCTGCCTGCCGTAATCTTCCTCCTCTCTAGATAACATGTAACACACTAAATACAAGTATCTGGGTCTACCCCTGACTTAGTTACCTCTTTCCCTTTACAGGCTAGGATGCCCACTGGTGCCGTCCTGCTGAAGGTTGGGTCAGGCATGTAAAGGGGCTGTGGCAAGGTAGGGTGTGAAACGGGTCTAACCTGCTGCAATCATCATCATGAACTTCGAGGGTCTGGACCCTGGACTGGCAGAGTATGCCCCGGCCATACATTCTGCCCTGGACCCTGTCCTGGATGCCCACCTGAACCCAAGTCTGCTACAGAATGTGGAGCTGGACCCAGAGGGAGTGGCCTTGGAGGCTCTTCCTGTCCAGGAGTCAGTGCACATAATGGAAGGTGTCTACTCTGAATTGCACAGTGTGGTGGCTGAAGTGGGTGTGCCTGTCTCCGTCTCCCACTTTGACTTGCACGAGGAGATGCTGTGGGTGGGAAGCCACGGGGTAAGAACTGTACCCCTTTGTAAGGGCCGAAAGGAGATGTTGGATGTTTTATCTGGTTTTAGCTGCTTTGCAAGGAACCAGAATTGAAGTGATGAGAGATAGGTGGGTCTCTAAGTCAAGCCAAGAGGAAAGGAGTGGAGAAAGGAAGTTACGGGATCCAGGGATGAGATATGTAGGTGCTCTTTTTCAGAAGCCATCCTACTTCTACCACAATTTCCCATTTCATGCTTTGGTTAATGTTGATAACTGTTAGTCTATAACCATCCAAACCCAATTTCTTATGCCCATCCTCTCTTTTCCATTTTATTATTATACAAAGGTTAATGCATGTTTCTATATATCTTACATGGAATCATTCTATGTTCTCTGGCTGATTTTAATATCTCTGAGAGCAGTTGATTTTTTTTTTTTAAATGTGTATCCATACTGCCAATATGCTTGTGAGCCCAAAGATTTTGGAAGAGATAACATGCTGGCCTTGGTTTACTAATTTACAATACATAGGGTATGAATGGTTTTTGCATTAGAAAGAATGAATTTTTTTTTTTTTTTTGGTAATTCATTTCAGTGGGCAGTATCTACTGCTATGCTAGGCCCAGGTAATTAAGCTAAATAAAACATAATCTTTGCCTTCAAGGAGTTTACAGGGCAATGAGGAAAAAAAGCATATAAATAGATAATTCAAGATACTTTAAAAGAAACTAAACTGCTTGACTTAATAATTATGAACTTAGGATATAAACTACTAATAAATGCCAGTGTGAAAATATGTACTGGGTGCTCGTGAGCAAAGAAAAGTCCGAGCACCTCCAGAAGGAAGTGACACATGAACTGAGTCCTAAGAGATGAGCAGAAGTCAGGTGAAGAAAAGAGGAAAATGCTCTTTTGGAACAAGCCATGGGATAAACAAAGTTCCCAGTATATCACGCAGCATAGTGATTGCAGACTGCAGGAACAACAAACAGTTAAGGTTTACTGTACCAGAAGATGAAGTGAAGAGTTAGTTATTTCTTCATTCAACCAGTATTTTTTTTTGAGCAACTACTAGTTGCCAGACCTTGCTGTGGGGGCTAGATTTGGAATAAGCATTTTAAAAGAAAAGTAATTTATATTATGAGGGGGGACCCCAAAAACCTGGAATTTATTTATAAAAAATTGTGTATTTATTTTTACATGTTTAAACTTCAGTCACCCTCAGAGTACTCTCCATTTGCTGCAGTGCCCCTGTCGATAGTTCCACTGTTCAAAACAGTTTTTGAACTCATTGATTTTGATGCCTTTTAGTGATTCTGCTGTTTTTTGTTTTACCTCTTCCATATTGGCAAAACATTTCCCTTTGCGGACTTTTTTTATCCATGAAAACAAAAAAAGTCTCTCGGGGCGAGATTGCATGAATCGGGAGAGTGGGGCACAAGAGTCATACTGTTTTTGGTCAAAAACTGCTGAACACTCGACGCAGTGCGGGTAGGTATGCTTCTAAATCAGCCATCATGAAACGGGCAAACAAGTTGAAAGGGTTCCAAAACAATTCACTGAAGTTAAATGTGGCCTCTCACAACAATGCCAGCTGGTACACTGATACAAATAGGTTCCTAGAACACTTACCTAGCAAGGGAAGCCTTTACTACAAGGGGCCCACCCTCCAGAAGGTAATTCCAGGTGTTTTGGGTCCCCTCTTGTATATCAGGTGTTGCTTAGTATCCTTAAGAAAAACAGAGTAAGGGTGTTAAGGTAATGAAGGGTAGGAGGCATTGCTATTTTAGATAGTTGGTTAGGTACAGTCTCGCTGAGTAAGTCATATTTGAGTAGAGACCTGGCTGCAGACCAGGATGCCTATTTTAAGCCATGTAGAAGGGAGAGAGGGAGCCATGCAGATATCTGGGGGGAAAACGTTCTCGAAAACCCCATATGCTATCTTAAAGGTGCTTGGACTTCATCCAAGCCACCAGAGATTTTTATCCAGAATGACAAGGTCTGATCTGCAACTTAGATGGATTACTGAGGTAGCAGTCTAGAGTTTGATACAAGGGGGATGAGGTAGGGCCATCTGAGATCAATTTTCAGGTTCTAGTAGTTCACATAAAATACCATGAAGGCCTGAATGAAGCACCATAGAGACAAATACATGAAAACAGATTTGAGAAGTATTTAGGAAGTAAAATAAACAAGACTTGACTACCAATGACTTGGTCCACTGGGTAGATCATGGTACCATAGGGAATAAAGTTAAGAATTGAGATGGGATAAAAGTGGTGAATTTAAGCTGTAATGAGTTTAAAGTTCTCATGGGATATCAAAAGAGATGTTTAGTAGGTATTTGGATATGTAAGTCTAAAGCTTGAGACAGTGATCTGGATTAGAGAAGGGATTAGGATTCATCAACCTAAAACTGGATGATTAAAACCTTGAGGGTGGATGGGATTACATAGTAAGACACATAGAGTGAGAAGATAGTGGGCTGGGAATAGCCGTATTTCAAGAGTGGCCAGAAGGAACCCTGGCTGGCGTGGCTCAATGGATTGAGCGCCAGCCTGCGAACCAAACGGTCACTGGTTCAACTCCCAGTTAGGGCACATGCCTGGGTTACCAATGGGGGTACCCATTGAGGGGCATGTGAGAGGCAACCACGCATTGATGTTCCTCTCCCTCTCTTCCTTTCCCTCTGTCTAAATAAATAAAATCTTAAAAAAAAAAAAAAAAAGTGGTCAGAAGGAGAGCATGTAGAGAGAGGGCATGAGCGAAGAGTCAGGAGAAAAGCCAGCAGTGAATGAAATAGGATCCAAGAGTGGAGTGAGTTTCACATTCTCTATTCCAGCCTGTGACCCACAGTACACATTTCCTTCATGACTGGTAAAGATTAAGACTTGACGATGGAACATTAGAAATCCAGGTGGCCAGTGGAGGATCAGACCCCCCCCCCCCCCCCCCCCCCGTCCCTGACCTTCTGAATACTCTTCTAAGCAACTGAGCCATTACTCGCTCAGCAGGGTCATTGTGAGGGTAAAATGAGGTACAGTTTACAAAAGTATTTTGTAAAGCATTAAACAAACATAAGATGGCATTTTCAGTGTGTTTATCGCTAAGATTGATGCCTAGCCATATGCCTTAACTGCTGCTAACCAGAAAGGCCAGGGAGCAAGAATGGAAACAAGCTGAGCAATGTCTAGTTCCTGAATTGTATCTGGGATAGCCCTGCCCTTCTACTCAGAGTGTCTCATCTTTTTGTCCCCTACAGGGTCATGCCACTTCATTTTTTGGCCCAACCTTGGAGCGTTACTCATCCTTTCAGGTTAATGGCAGTGATGACATTCGGCAGATCCAGAGCCTGGAGAACGGTGTCCTTTTTCTCACCAAAAACAACCTCAAGTATATGGCTCGTGGAGGCCTCATTATATTTGATTATCTGTAAGTGGTCTCTCAGCTCTAGACTGGGAAAGAGAGTCCCTCATAGAATGGGAAGGCTAAAGGATGGGAAACTTTGGAGACCCTGACCCCTTAGCGTTTCCCCTCCCTGACAGGCTGGAAGAGAGTGAGGATATGCACAGCCTTCTGCTGACTGACAGCAGCACACTGCTTGTTGGTGGGCTGCAGAACCACATATTGGAGATTGACCTGAACACTGTCCAGGAGACTCAGAAGGTATAAGCCTGGGGCAGGAAAGACCCAAGCAGGGTCCAAGGTTATTGTGGCAGGGCCGTGGGTAATACCTGAGCTGGGAGCAGGTGGGGGGAGATGTGTGTGTGTGGGGGTGTGTGTGTGGGGGTGTGTGTGTGTCTGTCCCGTCCAGTCCATCCCCCCCCCCACCCCGCCGTCCGTCCTTTCTGTTCTTTTTGGTTTGTGGGAAGAATCATTCTCACTGGTTTCTCCTCCTTTCCCTAGTATGCAGTTGAGACACCTGGAGTCACCATCATGAGACAGACAAACCGCTTCTTCTTCTGTGGCCACACATCTGGCAAGGTGGCTAAGTTCCATTTTTCCTCCTACCGTGGGGTCGTGTTTCACCAGATACGTGAACAGGGCTCAGCCTTTCCTTCAGTGCTGTGCTTGTATTTAGAGGGAAGGGAGGAGTGAATTGAGTTCCTATCCAGCCTTGTTATACTATAAGGTTAGCCTTTCAGACTGATGTTTTCTGTCTTAACTAGGTACCTTAGGGGCAAAAGGGTAAACGAGTTCTCTTTGGGATCCCTTTCAACTCTTGGTTTCTCTGTTTGCCTTTTATGTGCTTTAATTGCTCATATGTAGAGGCTTAGCAGGGGCCTCACACGGCTAGGTAGGTGGCAGGTATTCTTCCTGATAATAGCTTTGGCAGATAACCAGGTTACTTCTTCTTCAGATTTCCCTGCGAGACCTTCGTACTTTTAAGGTGGAGCATGAGTTCGATGCTTTCTCAGGGAGTCTGTCGGATTTCGATGTGCATGGCAACCTGCTGGCCACTTGTGGCTTCTCCAGCCGCCTCACTGGCCTCGCCTGTGACCGTTTCCTCAAGGTGTATGATCTGCGCATGATGCGTGCCATCACGCCACTTCAAGTACATGTGGATCCTGCCTTCTTGCGTTTCATCCCTACATATACTTCTCGTCTTGCTATCATCTCTCAGTCAGGTATGAAGGGGATGTAAGATGTATAAGAGAGTTGACGAGCAAAGGGGAACTAGGCACCAGAGGGAGTATACTTCCCGGAACCTCTTTGTTGAAGAAAAAAGTAACCTTTCAATGGAGTCTCTGAGTCTCACTTAGGTTTGGTCAGAGATTAAAGCCTTTGTTGTCTTCCTTGGAGTGAAGAACACAGAAAAAGCTAAAAGGTGGAGCAGGCAAAATTTTAGAACTCCCTATTGCTGCATAGCATACTTCCTTGTGGTTTATGGGAAGGCATCAGGTGGCTTTCTCTCTAGTTCTAAGCATGGATTCGGGGCCCATCTTTCCTTGATACCAGGGGAAGAGGGTAGGATGGGCATAAAAGGATGGCTCCCTTCACCTTCCAGGGCTCGCTCAGTGGGCTTCCTCCTCCCTCCTAGGGCAATGCCAGTTTTGTGAACCCACAGGCCTGGCCAACCCAGCAGACATCTTTCATGTGAATCCTGTGGGGCCTCTGTTAATGACGTTTGATGTGTCAGCCAGCAAGCAGGCCCTGGCCTTTGGAGATTCTGAGGGCTGTGTGCACCTCTGGACTGATTCCCCTGAGCCTTCCTTCAACCCCTACTCCCGGGAGACCGAGTTTGCTTTGCCCTGTCTTGTGGACTCACTGCCTCCTCTGGACTGGAGCCAGGACCTGCTGCCTCTTTCCCTCATCCCTGTCCCACTCACCACTGACACGCTTCTCTCTGATTGGCCTGCTGCCAACTCTGCTCCGGCTCCCAGGTTGTACCTCACATATGGACCAAAAGGGGGGAGGAAAAGGGCCGAGATACCGGGATTCTCTGTTATTCTACTTCTTTTCTGATTTTTGTCGGCCCTCAGTATTTTCTTTTTATCCGACCTCTTGGGGATTGGGGATTAGATAGGCAGACACCATACCCTTCAAGCCTTAGAACTATACTACATTATAGGCGAGCACCCCCTGTTGATGCAGAGATTCTGCGCACCATGAAGAAGGTGGGATTCATTGGCTATGCACCCAACCCACGTACCAGGCTGCGTAATCAGGTACGTTCAGAGGGGAGAGGGCCAGCCCTCCCCCCACCCCAGCCCACAGGCATTTCTCCTTTTTCCTTTACTCGTCCTCAGTAGTTTTTGATTTAAGTCAGTAAAATTTTTTTTGAGGTTATATTTTATTTACTATAAAATACAATACTTGGACCTCTTCCTCCACAGGGGGTTCCATATGGTCTTAAGAGCATAATAGTTAATTAACTAAATTACCATTATACCCATTGAGGGCCTGAGAAACCCCGTCTCATAAACCAAGTCTTGGGAGGCATGGTGGAGAACTTTATCCAGCTTGAATGAGCAGTCTCTCTGCTGGCTATTGATAACTCCTCTCCTAGTATCTTTTTTTTTTTTAAGATTTTATTTATTTATTTTCAGAGAGAAGGGAAGGGAGGGAGAAAAAAAGAGAGGAAGGGAAATATTGGTTGCCTTTCACATGCCCCCAACTGGGGACCTAGCTTGCAGCCCAGACATGTGCTCTGACCAGGAATCAAACTGGCAACCTTTTGGTTTGCAGGCCAGTGCTCAATCTACTGAGCCACACCAGCCAGGGCTAGTATCTTTTTTTAACTGAACATCAGTGATTTGGTTGTCATCTCTGTATCTAATCATTTCATGAGCAAAGTCATTGGTGGATTTGATATGGACAAACGCATGAATTTTTTTCCTAGTATTCATTCTAATGACATAGTGCTTGTTGTTCTTATGCCACATCACTTCAGTGTTTAAGCTCCAAATTAAATTACAAGCTTCTTGAGGGATAGGACTGTGCCCTTTATCTCTTTTGAATCCCCCCTCAATGTCCAGACCAGTGCCTATCACAGAGGTGCTCAGGAAATGGTGGGTGGAGGTGATGGTAAATGGTTGGAAGTCAGAGGGTGACTGAATCTCCACGTGTGGGTCATCAGTCACTGTGCTGGAGGTAGCAGCCCTCTCATAGTGCAGCAACCAGTGCAACTGCTGTGACAGAAAACTGGGCACAGCAGCTGGGCTGTGTACACAGCCGCCATGGCCACGGGCCCAGTAAAGGTATTTTTTATTTTTCTTTTCTTTTAAGAAACATCAATGTGGTTGCTTCTCATATGCCCCCTTCTGGGGACCTGGCCTCCAACCCACGCACATGCCCTGACTGGGGTTTGAACTGGTGACCCTTTTGTTTGTAGGGCAGCACTCAGTCCACTGAGCTACACCAGCCAGGGCCCAGTAAAGAGTTTTTGAAACTTACTAAATTGAAGGTACTATGCTAGGTGTTTGGGAGGATTCAGAGACATAGAAGATAGGGTTCTTTCTCATAAGAATTTTAGTATTTGATTGGTGAAAATAAGACCTATTCATAACATATTATATATGTCCTACTGTTAAGTGGTAGAGAAATGTTATAAGCATTCATCACCTGAGCTATTTGGAGGTAGAGGGAAAGTTTTACTTTAGGCCAGAGTGGTCAGGGTGTGCATACTGGAAGAGGTAGGTATTATGCTAGAGAGGTGAGAGATGGATAAGTAGATAGTAACAGCAGAGTATGTTAAAAGATGAGAGGTAAGTGTTTGTAAAGGTCTCTAGAGGCATAACTGCAAAATGGGCCCCTAATGGGGACAATGACTATACCTACCAGTATGGCTGGAATGGCTGTTATAGTGGGAAATACTGAGAGACTGAGGTAGGAAAGGGCCTGTTTGTGAGGCCCTGAAATCCATAGTATAGTGGAAGAAGTGATGCACTAAAAGGGGCATTTTTGCCCTGGCTGGTGTGGCTTAATGGATTGAGCACCAGCTTGCGAACCAGAGCCACTGGTTCGATTCCCAGTCAGGGCACATGCTGGGGTTCCAGGCCAGGTCCCCAGTGGGAGGCGCTCAAGAGGCAGTCACACGTTGATGTTTCTCTCCCTCTCTTTCAACCCCCTTCCCCTCTCTGAAAATAAATAATATCTTTTTTAAAAATAAAAGGAGCATTCTAAGAGGGTTAGTTTGGACAGAGTAAATATGGGGAGCCCAGTGTAGAAGCTATCACACTTGTCCAGCTGTGATGAGGTAGGTTGATGGCAGTGGGAATAAAAAGAAGTGAATGGCGAAAACCCTATGAAATTAGGTTGAGGACTTGGTGACTCGTTCAGTGTTGGGGGAACAAAGATGATAGAGATATCCAACCAGGTTACCTCTTTTAAAAATTTTAGATTCCTTACCGACTCAAGGAGTCAGACAGTGAATTTGACAGCTTCAACAAGGTCACTGAGTCACCAGTAGGGCGGGAAGAGGAGCCACATCTCCACATGGTCTCTAAGAAATACCGCAAGGTACTGGGGAATACCAAGGAAAGATGTTGGGAAAACTTCCCAGGGTAGGGAGTCATATGAGAAAAGACTAAAGGACTCAGTCAGGAAGCTTTACCTACCACACTGGACTCAGGAGGGAGGTTTTGGGGAAGGTTATGGCTAGGGGACTTTGAGGATTTCCTTATCTTGCTTAGACTGTTTCTGCCTCAGGTAACCATCAAATACTCCAAGCTAGGGCTGGAGGACTTTGACTTCAAACACTACAATAAGACCCTCTTTGCTGGATTAGAGCCCCACATCCCCAATGCCTACTGTAACTGCATGATCCAGGTAAGGGTGGGTATTCCTGTAACTTGAATGTGCCTGCTGCCTTTTTTCTCTATGCCCCACAACTCCTACTCTTCTTCCATGTCTCACCAATCAGGCCCACTTTACCATGGCCCCCTCTACCGTACTTTTTTGCCTCACAGCCTTCAACTCCCCTCTGTGAGCTCTGCTTCTTCAGTGGACTCCTGATTTGGATTCTCTACCAGCTCACTTAATCTTCCAATCTCTTTTCCTCCTTGTAGCAGTGGCCTTTGCCATTTTTCCTGCTCTTCCCTCCAGGTACTCTATTTCCTGGAGCCCGTTCGCTGCCTAATCCAGAACCACCTTTGCCAAAAGGAGTTCTGCCTGGCATGTGAGCTGGGCTTCCTCTTCCACATGTTGGATCTCTCCCGAGGTGACCCTTGTCAGGTCAGTGCCTGGAGACCTGGGACAATAAAAGAGGAAGGCAGGTGGACAGTAGGCAGAGACATTGCTGTGCACATGCCCACAAAAGAGAAAATAACCTCTTTCTACCAACACACTTCCTGGATTCCAGGGCAGTAATTTTCTTCGGGCATTCCGCACCATTCCTGAGGCCTCGGCCCTTGGTCTGATCCTCGCTGACTCGGATGAGGCTTCAGGCAAGGGCAACCTGGCCAGGCTCATCCAGAGGTGGAATCGCTTCATTCTCACTCAGCTGCATCAGGATATGCAGGAGATGGAAGGACCGCAGGCTTATCGAGGTGCTGGAGGCAGGTATGGAATTGGGACAAAAATAGTTAAAGCTATCATAACAGGCCCCTCTATGACTCATGGGGTCTCTTAACTCCCTCACTGCGCATATATCACTCTCCCCACTCTTAGCAGCTTTTGCTCATCGGGGGACTCTGTCATTGGGCAGCTGTTCAGCTGTGAGATGGAGAACTGCAGCCTCTGCCGCTGTGGCAGTGAGACCGTGCGAGCCTCATCTACCCTGCTCTTCACGCTCTCCTACCCTGAGGGTAGCAACAGTGGTATACCCTGCAGCTGGGTTGGGAAGGCTTCCCCAATGTCCTGTAACATCAAGGAGAGGGTGTTGGGGGCTAACACTAACAGTGGATAGAAGGGAGAACCTGGAGTGAAGTATCCAGTTTCCCTACAGATAAAACCGGGAAGAACTGTGACTTTGCTCAGGTGCTAAAGCGAAGCATCTGCCTGGAACAGAATACGCAGGCCTGGTGTGACAACTGTGAAAAGTACCAGCCGACGGTGAGTGGGCTGCTGCACTGGACTAGGGTCCTGCCATGTTGGGGACTCAGCTATGGTCTCATCTGGGGCTGGCTAGGTGAGGTGAGCACTGCCATCCAGGGATCTATAAGGAGTGGGAAGAATCCCAGTTTGTGGACGCAGATCCACATTTCACTGCCTCTGTCCAGGTTTCTTTCCCTGTAGGCTCCCTTTCATTCCTTATTGTTTGTTTGTTTTTAGAGAGACGGGAAGGGAGGGAGAAAGAGAGGGAGAGAAACATTGAGGTGCTAGAGATACATTGATTGATTGCCTCTCGCATGCCCCAATCTGGGGACCCAGCCCACAACCCAGGCATGTGCCCTGATTGGGAATCAAACCGGCAACCTTTTGGTTTGCAGGCTGGCTCTCAGTCCACTGAGCCACACCAGCCAGGGCAATTTCCATTCCTTACTTGTTTTATCCTCTCAGATTCAGACACGCAACATCTGCCACCTGCCAGATATTCTTGTCATCAATTGTGAAGTGAACAGCTCAAAAGAAGCTGATTTCTGGAGAATGCAGGCTGAGGTAAAGGCTGGGTCTGGAAACAGTCCTAGGAGTTTTCTCTTTCTTGCTTTTTTTCGTAAAGAGTACTTTTTCGTTTTCTTCCTTTTCTGGTCAACCTCCATATGTGATTAATGTTCTGAAGAACCATATTTTCTCCTTTGTGTTCAGTTTGCATTTAAGATGGCAATAAAGAAATACGGTGGGGAAATTTCCAAGAACAAGGAATTTGCTTTGGCTGATTGGTAGGTACTGTCTTAGGAGTGATCAAAGTATTGAACTACCCAGTGGCTCCTCTGGTCACTGGCTAGATCTCCTCAGACTAAATTTCCAATTCTCCTCTCCTGACAGGAAGGAACTAGGGAGTCCAGAGGGCATGCTGGTGTGTTCTTCCATTGAGGAGTTGAAGAATGTCTGGCTTCCTTTCTCTATTCGCATGAAGATGACCAAGAACAAAGGACTGGATGTCTGCAATTGGACTGATGGGGATGAGATGCAGGTTGTTGGAAAATTGGGAAGAGGAGGGGATATAAGGGACAGGGGGATAGGGCAGAAGCAGAGTAGGAGGAAAGTGGAACTTAGCATAGTGAAAAGAAATGGGATAAGGCTGAGTATTTACCAGTAGTGGGCTTTTCCAAAGTCATTACTTTATTGGTGGGCGTCATAGATGGGTTAGGATGGAGAGAACCCACCCCGGTGCCCCATTCCATACCCCAAACTCCCTGTCCTCTACCCCCATTCCCCTTCCTTCTCCATCCTTAAACTTAGCTTAGCAGCCTGGGTACCCCCCTCACAGTGGGGCCCAGCCAGGGCAGAGGAGGAACATGGTGTCTATGTGTATGACCTGATGGCTACTGTGGTACACATCCTGGACTCACGCACAGGGGGCAGCCTGGTGGCTCACATCAAAGTCGGAGAGACCTACCACCAACGCAAGGAGGTGAGTGAGGTAATACAGGACATGGACACTCCTGGAGGTGGCCAGAGTGGACTCCCAGATCTGTCCTTATCTTCCGTCTGAGCCAGACTGGTCCAGCCATCACTTTGGCATCAGTCTTTCTCTGTATCTCCACAGGGCGTTACCCACCAGCAGTGGTATCTCTTCAATGACTTTCTTATTGAACCTATTGATAAGGTAAGTTGTAACACATTGCATTCCCCCTTTCATCTCCCCTTTTCCTAGCATCCTCATTCTCATTTTCCTACAGAATACCAGACAAATTCAGGAGAGAGGGATGGGTTCTCAAGAATAAAGAGCATTAGCAGAGCTAAAAATAGCACCTGAGTCCTATCATCGGTCTGACTTGGGAAAAGAAAAAGGGGCATCTATATT